GACGTTAGCAGGAGTGGGAGGGAGACAAGAGAAGGTAATGTGGGTGAATAAGATAAAAATATATTAGATGTGTGTAAAATGTCACAATGAAACTCATATTTATGTATAATTAATATATGCGATTAGAAACTTTACAAAACTTCCCCCTACTTCTGAGTAGTTTGATCACCTATTATGGATCTCAGTGTCCCTTATATTCTCAGAAATCTTAGCTGATGTATTTTACTCACTCTGTGATATAGTTAACTCTTCTTAAGTATATCTTGTCCATTGGCTTTGGAGTATAGTTAGGTTCCTTGCATTATTTAAAACCACCAACACCACAACATCAGCACAAAACTTCTTCCAAACACCCACACTCTTTCTATTCCTATTGATCAGTTGCTAGAAGCTATGCCAATACTTACTGTCCCCACTCCCCTGCCTCCCACCTGATTTCTTTTCTATTCCATAATGCCACCAACACAAGTTCCTGCTAAGTGGTCAATACCTTTCATGCTCTTAAATACAATCCAATAACCATTTGTCTTCCCAGAAGCATCCGAATTGATGGCCAACTTGTCTGCATCCCACATCACCGTATCCCTGGTACTCAGCATTATAATCTCTCAAAAACTACATGTGGGACAAAGACTGCCTACAAGACATTGAGGAAAGTCAATATTTGGGTTCAATGACAAATTAGCCTACAGAAAGTTAATCACATAGATTAAGATTTAGCTTACCAATGTTATATTTTCTTTTTTCATTGACATTTTTATATTTTAAGAGGAAAATGGTGATAAACTTAGAATTTACAGCACAGTATCTCTTGGATTCTATGTTTGTATATGCTTCAACATTTAGTGCCTCCTCACAGGTTTCTAACCATTCATGATCCTTCCTTCTTTACAGTTCTGATTTGTCAAAATTTAAATACTATTTAGAAGTCCTTTGAAAGTTTTATACATGCATACAATGTATTTTAAACGTTTTCATTCCCCACATCAACCAGATCCACCTCCTTCCTCTCTCAAGTTTGTGCTCTCTTTTAAATTATTTTTATAACCCAGCGTCCAATTTGTGCTGCTCATATATACTCATAGGTGTGGGGCCATTCACTGAAACATGAAATACCCACCAAGGCCCACAATCTTAAAGAAAACTGTCTCTTTCTCTCTTAGAAGCCATCGACTGCTAATAGCTTCTCAGCTAAGAGTGGGAGCTTGCACGGCCCTCCCCATCAATGCTGGGATGTTGGTTGGTTTGATCTTGTGCATATAATTGCTCAACATTATATTTTCAAGACCATAATATTACTATTCATTGCCATCATTGCTCCTCCTTTTCTTACACTGCTGGTGGTGGAGCTCAGAGCCTCCCCAGAGCTGGCAGACACTGTGTCACTGAGCCACACCACCAACCCAGCTATTACTACGACATGTATGTGTGCTATGTCTCTTTCTAGTTCTTCCTCTGTCACTGCTGCTTCTGACAACATTAACAATCCCCGGACTTTGGTTGTAATTTGGGAAATTAAACCATGCTTTACTCTTATAATTCATTCTAATAAAGACAATTTTCCATATGTTAAAAAAGGTAGAATCTGAAGTTGCACTCTAATTTCTGAAATGTAGATTCTTATGAACCAAAGACTAACTCGGAGAACTATGCATCTCCAAACAATTCAAAGGCTCCTAATTTAGGGAGAAAAATATCAAAATGAAATGAAATGAAAGCAGACACCAAATTAATTATTCATTGTATTTCCATTCCTATCCACCGCTTGTGCACACCAAGATACACCTGGACAAAATATTATGAAAAGGGAACAGCTAGCTGTCTTTCCTTGTGGAGCCCTCAGGGGACATGAAGCCAGGACTTAGACACTCACAGTTTTGTAAGCAACCCAGGAAGAAGGACTCAGATGACAAGAAAGAGGAAACAGGAAGCGGTAATTAACCCAGCCACCTCTGAGCTTTGGCCTGGTCTTACTTAGACTCATGTATCACTTCAGTTTGAATTTGTTTACGTTCTTGCTAAGCGTTTGCACTTCATGTGTGTGACTTGCTTACATACCAGGCTTGGAAACATGAATGTCATGCAGAAACTTAACAAGGAACCAGATATAAGCAGGAGAAAAAGCAAGGAAATACTGGGAGAATACGAGGTGGAAGAATGTGTATAGTTGGGTGGGGACTTGGCCGTGCTGCCAGACAGCAGGCACCTCCTCTAGGTTAAACTCCCAGTCCTTAGCTTCACAGCAAGCCTATGTATGTGTCACTATTATGTAAAGCTGTCTTCCTTTCTTGTTTGCCTTTTTGTAAATTGTGATCCTGTGGCATATATACAATACTAACACCCTTCTTTCTTATCACTGGGCCTTTGTTTTCCACCTGACTCACGATCAACAGCAAAGCTCAGAAATTAGACTGGAATTTTCCAACCACAGAAACATAAACTCTGATTCTATTTACAGTTTTCGGTAGCTATAAACTTAACTATCTCTCATTGTCATTTCTTTTAAGAAATACACTTTTCTTAATGGCAGCATTGCTCATTTCTGAATACCTCTTCCCCATTATTGCCTTCATTGGAACCGAAATATATTCCTGGTTTTATAGTGTGTACCCCAGTTGTCTGGAGGATAGATCCCAGGAGTTTTGTAGGCACAGCAATGGAAGATATAACCATGTTGCTTTTCCTCAATGGAGTATTGATCAGGTCCTCAGAGAAGTGATTGCATAATCTATCTGGGTTGGGACAATTTTCCAAAGCTGTGTCTGAAGCCGAAGTTTAGGTGTACTTATGCTAATATCTGACAATATCTCACTGGATCCCATCCCCTTTTTTGTTTGTTTGTTTTTGTTTTTCGAGACAGGGTTTCTCTGTATTGCTTTGGAGGTTGTCGTGGAACTTGCTCTGTAGACTAGGTTGGCCTTGAACTCACAGAGATCTGCCTGCCTCTGCCTCCTGAGAGCTGGGATTAAAGGATCCTGCTCTTTTAGAGTGCCTGTTATAATCAGACCACTCTAAAAAGAAAAGGAAGTTCCTTTATAATAAGAATTGAGGAATAAAGTGTCTTTATTATTATTATTACTACTATTTACACCAGCCATTTGCAATACCCCCATCTTATTCTTAATATTTATATATATTTTATTTTATTCATATGAATATTTTTCCTTCATGTACATCTGTGTGTCTGGTGTATGAGGAGGTCAAAAGAAGACATTAGATCCCCCATATCTGGAGTTACAGATGACTGTAAGCCATCCTGTGGATGTGGATTCTGGGAACTGAGCCTAGGACCTCTGCAAAAGGACCAAGTACTTTTAACTCCTGAGACATCACTATAGCCCACTTCCTACCTTTCAATAGGAACTATAGTAAGTACTTTATGCAGGTGACCTTATTTAATATCAAGATGGTATCCATGATGGAAGAACTATAAACATCTACATTTGTTATGTCAGAGACCAAAGCCTAGAAGCCTGAAATGACTGTACAATGGGAATGGTGATATCTATAGTAAGCAACACATCTAGTGCCCTGCTGACTATGTGAATCCAAAGCACCCAAGCTAAGTGTGCTCTCAACAGGTCTTCTGTCTCACTTTATTTCAACTACACTCCACTTATCCCATTGTCAACTGATCAGAAGTTGTATTTCATTCCATTTGAGGGAATTGTACTTCATACAGAGATTATCCAAACATCATTGTCTAGGAGCAGTAAGAGGTAGACACGGAGAGGAGCTGAGAAATCCATGCCCGTTATGTATCGGGGAAGTCTCATGCCTCCTGCTGCAAAGCTTTCCTGAGGTAGGCTTTGTTGTTCTTTTCTATTACCAGGCTATTTACCCCTTGAGTTTAAAACATTCAATTTCCTGTGCACTTTCCATTTGCTGGTTTTTATTTTTATCTGTTCCCATTATCAGGAATAGAAATCATTTTACATTAGAACCGGGTCATGTAGGGCAAGTATTATCATGAAAGTCCAAAACTCTCTCAGAGAACTTACAAGACAGGCCCCAAGGTAGATTCATTTCTAGCCAGAATGAACCTAAAGCTTAAATTCAGGGCTCCATCACCAGTGCAGGTCCTTGAAGCCTGTTCAGTCTGAATGCTACATGTTCAGGATCCTCTATGGCCTATTTATATATCTAAGTTCACTTCCATAAATGTACTCTCTAAGTCATTCCACTTCTTTTCTTTTATCCCAGCTGCTGGCATATGTCACCCTCCAAGTTTCTTCCTTCTTCATTCACATGTCCATGTCTACATCCACTCTATGATCAAGTCATGTGTGGTTTACACTCAGTATGTAAAATGCATACATTTCCTTCCGTCTCTACCAGACTACAACTTATCTCTTCTAGATAGCTGGAAATGATCTTCTAATATATTCCCATCATGTCTTCATTGTCCACTTTAAAGCTATTTCCATAATGAAGCTTGGGTTATTTTTTTTATAATATAAATACAATCAGACTACAAATGTCACCCTAACCTCGTGTTGGAAAAAATCTATTTCTTTTATGATTCTTATGCAAAAATCATAGTTTTGAACATGGTCCTCCCTGCATCTCTAGCCCTACCTATGAATCTATACAGTATAGTCCCACTTGCATATTCCCATTTCCTAAACACTGCAAAGCATTTCCCATGGCTGCCCTCACCCCACTTCTGGTCACTCACAACCCCCACCTTTTCTAAACTGCACTGGCGACTGCTCTTTCCTCAGACTTCAGTTTAGGTGCCCCTTCCTCAGTGACCGTGTCCCTGGATTCTGCTCTGCTCTCGTTCACCTACAGTAGTTCTCTTTAACACCACCGCTGCTACTTCACGCTTAGATACGCATTATTTGAGCTGTCGCTACTTCCCTATCAGACAGTGCTTCTTTCTGCTAAGTCCTTGTTCAACACCACATCTAGAGCATGGCTGCTGTCTCCATGTGTTTGCTAAACGAGTGAAAGCAGCATGAAGGTGGAAGCATCCATTCTTGTGTGGTTATACTCACCAGGTGCCACAATGAGGCTGTGGACTGTAGTCTGGATGCCGCCTGGATACACAGTAAAGCTGCACTCATATTTTCCGCTGAAGGTGGTAGAGACATTCCTTAAGTGCAGAGTCCATTTTGTTACATTCTTCCCAGTTTCTATGGATGCCACCTGGGACTCACAGGTGTGCCTCGGGGCACAGTGGAAGCCATATTGGGGATGATAAACAACAATCAGGTCAATTGTGTCAGTGACCTTGGACCACTGCATCTGTACCAGGAAGTCTTTCTCCTTTGTTCGGCAGGTCAAGTTGACATCAGAACCAGGTGGAGCATATATGGCTTCTCCTGCCTTGAATATTTCTTCCCATACTCCTGGAAAGGAAGGATATGAGTAAGCAGTTTGCATAATTCACCTGGAGTGCTCCTTTAGGTGTGTGTGTGTGTGTGTGTGTGTGTGTGTGTGTGTGTGTATGTGTATGTGTGTGTGTGTGAGTGTGGTCCTTAAAAATCATTTTTAGCTAGCATACAAAACCTAAGAGTGACTCTTAAAAACCCCCCTCAGTTCACTGATATGAGAAAGCAACTGGAATTTCTTCCTGGCTGTCCTAGGAAAGAAAGCCCTTTGTGATTTAGGAGGAAGAGAGGAAGCTATGGGCACCTGCATATTTCTGTCTCTTTGTCTCTCCAAAAGGTAACTGAAGGTCTCTGACTAATTGTGAATAAAATTGAGAATACTTGAAGATTTATTTTTTATTATTTTTAAATTATATGTATGAGTATGTGTCTGTGTGTGAATATTAGTGCAGATGCCCACAAATCCTTCTGGAACTGGAGTTGTAGCTGCCACATGCTCATATTAGGAACCAAACTTAGGTCCTCTATAAGAGCAGAAAGTGCTCTTAATTGCTGAGCTACCTCTTCAACCTCATAAATTAAGTCTGGTTAGGTGCTCTGGCAAACTTCCCATGAAACTGTTAATACACATGCATTTGACCTTTCTGGATGAACACCTGTAATAACTAGTCTAAGTATAGTATTTTTTCACACTCTAATTGTAAGCTCTTTATAATAAAGTGACTTTTCTTTTAAAAATACTATGTGTTATTTTATACATGCCATCATTTTAATCTGCATGCATCATAAGAGTGATATTGTTATCTTTTCAAAAGGGGAAGCAAAGCACTGAGACATGGAGTAGATCATTTAGAGACCACCCCTTAAAAGAACACAAATTCTCCTTGCAATTAGTCACATCTGCAGTTTTCCTTCAAGTTAGATTCATAACTTCAAACTTCCTAGTAGAGGAAGAGCTTTGACATTCCCTCTGAGGATGAAGGAACCTTCATCTCCATGTAGTTATGTCTCCCAAGGATAAAGTAGGAGATGACTCAGGTAGAGGTAACCTAGGGCATCATCTCTATCCTGCTCATGAGATACTAGGCATAAAAGAAGATTCTCTTTTCCATCAGCCACCTGGATGCATGATACAGATGACTAAAAATTTCTTCAGCACTGAGCCTTTGATATGTCTTCAGAAATGCTGGGCTCTGTTTTAGAATTTACCATTACAGAAGTTATACATTATTGTGACAAGTCCCCTGGAGCTCACAAAGGGAAAGGATAAAAAGACGACAAGCTGCTGAGGAGAAACAAGACCTCAAAGGTACTCTGTGGGTAGGACTTATTATGCATTTGTGAATGCACAAAGTTTGGGTAGACAGAGGTCTACACATCTGAGTCTAACTCCCTGGGAGGCATCTTTGAATAACGTGCCTCTGAGCCTATCTAGATCACCAATTCCAATGTCTTTGATTCAGAAACTCTTAAATCTTCATAACCATACACATTCTTAAGTCATTCAGTTCTTTTAGGTTCTAGTCTAAGAATGGCCTTAAGATCATAAGGATACTCTTCGCTTTCCGAGTCACTCCTTGTATGTGACTAATACTTCACATACATCAAACCACTAATGGCATTAGCAATGGGGAGGAGAAACAACTTGTTACTTTGAAGAGAAAAGAAATGCTTGAGACAGGATTAAAAACTGAGCAAGGCTTTCTGACCATGGACACAATTTTAGGGTGTTTTTAGTTTTCTGGGGTTGCTTTTATGATGATCCAGGAGCATTTCCTCTCCAAGACACACAATTTTCCAATTACACAAGACTCTTTGAAGAGGGAAAATGGTGAAGAGAGGCCAGAGCAATGGCACCATCCATTCCCTTTTGGCTTTAGTGCTCATGAGGAATCTCTCCTGACTCTAGCATCTTTTCTGTTGCTGTCATGTACTTAACTGACAACCTCAGCAACAGTTTGCCCTTTAGTGATCGACTCTTGCAGCAGTCATGAGGCATTTCAAAGAAGCAAAGTTTCCTAAAGCAGTCATCTGAAAGTACAGGATTGACCAGAAGTCTTACCCCTGAAAAACTGTATCTGGATGATGGAGTAAACAGCACAGTATGTCCATTTTCTTCCCATTGTCTTCCAAAGAAGAGCTCACACCAGCATTTCTGTAACGATCACAGGAGTCAATTGATGTCTCTAGCTGAGTAAACTCCAGCCACCCTATTCGTGCTCAAAAACCCCAATGCTACCACAGGGCTGGGGGTGTTGATCACTTGGCAAGTACCCAGGAAATGAAATGCAGACAGGAAAGTAGTGTGGTTCGGGGCTAAGAATAACCTTCACAAGAACAATGCAAAAACTGTTCTCTGAAATCTTGTGTCTTACCTCTAAAAATTTTTTTCATATCCCAAGATTCTCTCCTTTAGTGTCGTTGTCAGTCAAGCTGCTTCTAAAATCCAAACAAAGGAAATCATGCAGTGCAGTCCCTGTATGCTTTTTATACGTTTCCTTTCAAGAATACAAAGTCATTTAGCAAACAGGAGCTTTTGGCTTCTCATAATAGCATTTCAGTACAATCTTGAGATATATATTTTCTTTCCAAAATCACCCCAGGGTGAAAGAACAATGATTAACATATTTGATTTTCATAAACTCTGAAGAATAACGGGGAGTGATGTCAGCTCTCCGACTAAATTCATTGTGTAGGGAAATTCATATGCCTGGGGTGGGAAGGGAGAAGTGCATGTTTTTTCCACCTCTTCTCTTGATAGGTTGGAGGTCCAGATGGGGGAATCCCTCATTGTGATGACCAGGGGTCTTTTTAGATGATGGTATAAGAGCTTTATCTTGCTAAGCCAAAAACCATAAAGAACTACACAACACACCAGTGGGTATGTTAAATCATATGGCCATGATGATTTTTCCAGGGAGGGTTAGGAGCTCAGATCCTTGAAGGGAGGACAGGAAGTGATGTAACGGCTCAGGGTAATTTCCTTTGTCATAGCTGAGAATTCTGATAATTCAATGGTGGGACAAAATAAAAACCAGTCAGGAGATGTGCTATAAAGACTCTGGTCTAAGAGTCGGTGTCCTGACATGAGGACAGATTATATACTTGGAGAAGAACTTGTCACCTCTTATTCCATTTGTCATAAAAATCCCAATTTACGGAATTCTTACGTGGAGTATCTAGACATCTCTTACTGCATTAGAATGAAGAAACTTTAAAACGAGGGTGAGACTGTCCCATTAATACAAGACAGTGTGAGCTACAGGTCCACTTTGGGCAGATTCCAGCCTCTGACTGGGGTGGTTTAGGTACCTATCAGTGGCTTTGGGCAATTCTGCCTCCTCTAGCTAGTTGTGCATGTTTGCTTGTTTCATTTCATTTTGTTTTTGACTCCTGGTTCATGACTCTAATAACTGGGAACCTCTATGGCCTGAGGTCAGGGTTGTACTAATTTTCCTTTGGGATCCATCTAGACTCTTAGAGAAGACAATTATCAGGCCCCCGTGGCACACAGATTGAATGTATCCAACACTTTGAAGTGGTAAGACCCAAGTGGAAACCCCTCCATGGCTGCTGCTTTGCAGCAGGTGGCAGCAGCAGCCTGCAGACCAGAACAACTATCCCAGGTGATGGGGATGGCCTCCACAGCTTTTCCAGCCCGGTAATATTTTTCCAAAGGCCCTTTCGGCAGGGGGATAGGCATTCTCTGTACTTAAAAATAACTCTTTTATGAAGCCGTATCAATCTTTCCTATTATCCTCTCCGCTTACCAAATCCCAAAACACACAGCATTTCTTCTGCCTTATATTCCAGCCTGCTGCATATGAAAAGGAAACAGAAGCAGTCAGTTTCACAGCGTGAAGAGAAACCTTGAACTTCTTGAACTTTGAGGCAAATGCAATTCTTTACAAAGGGAAGCTGGAATGCACATGCATTTTTGCTGGAGAGGCAGGCCAGCACTGTGTTTGGACAAAGTTTTTAAACAGTCTGTCGAAACACACTCAATTAGAAGAGGACACTGAGAAGAGGGAAGGGAACAAGAGGTAAACTTATTTTCATGGTTGCTACAGTGATTAACTCAAATATAACTTGGTTTTTTATTTTTAATCCACTCATAAATTATAAGAAAGTAAAGTGGCGTACCTTTTGAGCACTTCCCAGTGTATTTGAAACCATGACACTCATGGATTCTGTTAACTAAAAAATATTTATTGTGACCCTTCAGGGATCACTAAAGATACACAGTTCTAGATCATTGTAAATATAATGGAAAAACCATGGTCTTTGTTCTCTAGAAACTTGCCACTCTAATGGGAAAAAAGCATCCATGTGCATCAGAAAATGAAACAAGCAAGCAAAGTTCCACCTGGGTCATACAAGTTGACTGCCTGAGTGAACAGGCTGCATGGGATTTACAGAATGAAACAGGGAAGAGGCCGAGGGAGTGAATGGCCAGAATCATCTGAAGGATGGAGTCTGAACTTGGCTGGATGCTACAGAAATCATTGTGGAAGAGGCTGAAAGGTGAGTTATTCTAGGCAGAGGAAATAGGAAGAGCCGAGGCTTGGCAACATTGAAGTTCAAGGCAGATGCAGTATGTGTATAAGCTGTTCTCCTGGAGCATAGCTGGATGCAACCCCCACTCCTTTCCCCAGGGAGGGTGAGGCCCTCCATGGGGGTTGTCCATAGTCTGTCATTTCATCCAGGGCAAGGCCTGGACCCTCCTGCAAGAGTTCAGGGCAGGGATAAATATTGATCTACTACCCAAGGCCCCATAGATTTCCTGGGCCTCCTCACTGACACCCATATACAGAGGGTCTGGATCAGTCCCATGCTGGATTCCCAGCCATCAGTCTGGAGTTCAAGAGCTCCCCCTTGTTCAGGTCAACTGTTTCTGTGGGCTAAACAAGCCAAGTCTTCAATCTTCCCTCTCTGACACTAGGTTCCTTGAGTTCAGCTCAGTGTTTAGCTGTGGCTGTCTGTCTCTGCTTCCATCAGTCATTGGTTGAAGGTTCTGTTTCCCAGACTCTCTGGCAGTGGGATTATAGGCTGGCACTCCACTGATCCATGTCTAAAAGTCATATATGAGTGAGTATACATACCATGTTTCTCTTTTTGTGACTGGGTTACCTCACTCAGGATGGTTTCTTCTAGTACCATCAATTTGCCTGCAAATTTCAAAATTCCACTGTTTTTTTTCTGCTGAATAGTACTCCATTGTATAAATGTACCACATTTTCTCTACCCACTCTTCAATTGAGGGGCATCTAGGTTGCTTCCAGGTTCTGGCTATTACAAATAATGCTGCTATGAACATAGTGGAACAGATGTCCTTGTTGTATGAATATGCATTTTTTTGTATATGCCTAAGAGTGGAATTGCTGGGTCTTGTGGTAGGCTGATTCCCATTTTCCTGAGAAATCTCCATATTGATTTCCAAAGTGGCTGTACGAGTTGGCACTCCCACCAGCAGTGGAGGAGTGTTCCCCTTTTTCTACATCCCCTCCAGTATAAACTGTCATTGGTGTTTTTGATTTTAGCCATTCTGACTGGAGTAAGATGGTATCTCAGAGTTGTTTTGATTTGCATTTCCCTGATGGCTAGGGATGATGAGGACTTTCTCAAGTGTCTCTCAGCCATTTTAGACCCCTCTATTGAAAATTCTCTATTTAGTTCTGTGCCCCACTTTTTAATTGGATCCTTTGGTGTTTTGGAGACTTGCTTCTTGAGTTCTTTGTAGATATTAGAGATCAGCCCTCTGTCAGATGTGGGGCTGGTGAATATCTTTTCCCATTCTGTGGGCTGCCTTTTTGTCTTGTTGATTATGTCCTTTGTCTTAAGGAAGCTTCTCAGTTTCAGGAGGTTCCATTTATTAATTGTTGATCTCAGTGTCTGTGCTACTGGTGTTATGTTCAGGAAGCTGTCTCCTGTACCAATTCGTTCAAGGGTACCTCCCACTTTCTCTTCTAAGACGTTTAGTGTGGCTGGATTTATGTTGAGATCTTTGATCCATTTGGACTTAAGTTTTGTGCATGGCGATAGACATGGATCTATCTGCAGTCTTCTACCTGCCAGTATCCAGTTATTCCAGCATCATTTGTTGAAGATGCTTTCTTTTTTCCATTGTATATTTTTAGCTTTTTTGTCGGAGATCAGATGTTCATATGTGTATGGGTTAATACCAGTGTTCAATTTTATTCCATTGGACTACCTGTCTATTGTTGTGCCAATACCAAGCTGTTTTCAGGATTATAGCTCTATAATAGAGCTTGAAACCAGGGATGGTGATTCCTCTGGATGTTGCTTTGTTGAGTAGGGTTGTTTTGGCTATCCCAGGGAACTCCTACAGCTAATGAATACTTTCAGCAAAGTGGCAGGATACAAGATCAACTCAAGAAAATCAGTAGCCCTATTATATACAGACGATAGAAGGGCTGAGAAGGAAATCAGAGAAACATCACCCTTTCATTGCCACAAACAACATAAAATACCTTGGGGTAACACTAACCAAACAAGTGAAAGATCTGTATCACAAGAACTTTGAGTCTTTAAAGAAAGAAATAGAAGAAGACACCAGAAGGTGGAAAGATCTCCCATGTTCTTGGATATGTAGGATCAACGTAGTAAAAATGTCAATCTTGCTACAAGCAATCTACAGATTCAATGCAATCCCCATCAAAATCCCAGCACAATTCTTCACAGACCTTGAAAGAACACTTCTTAACTTTATATGGAAAATAAAGAAACATTTTGCAAGATGAATAGGATGTGTGTAGGCAATTTGAATGGATGAAAGGTAAAAGGGGAGGCACAATGTGTTGGGTTTATATGAGATTAGGTTCTCTGAGAGTCAGGCATGGGAGGAGCTCAAGGGACCGCGCCCTCACTGCTGAAGTATTTGCTACTGAGAGATTCAGAGAAATGGGCAGTCATTGCCTTCAGTTGTGTATCTGCTGGTGACCTCACGGGGCTCCAGTAAATAGTTCCAATCTAACAGTCCCATAGATGGTCTTGGTTAAACTGTGGGTCACAGAACAAAAGCAAATCATGTATTTGGGAAAAGGCCAGGTATAGGGAGGGGGTTGGTAGAAATGGGAGGATGATAAAAGAGGTGAGGGGAGAAAGCAGGCAGAACGTATTGTATACGTGTATGAAATGTCAAAGAACATTATCAAATGTACTGCCTTTAAAAAGTGAGGCAGAAGACCT